GCGCCCAGTCTCTGAACCACCTCTCCAGCCCACGGTACATTTCTGACCATCTTTTTGCCATCTGAATTTTGTACTGGCATAAGAAACGTGTTATACTGTGTAATCTGCCTCTGTCATGCCTAATTTACTGGGCTTTCTTTCTCACAAAAGTAACTCATTTTACTCTTTACTCTAAGATTGCTGGGCTGCGATGAGGTATTTTCTTGTTCTTTCCAATTTGTCTTCCTGTGTTAGCTAGCTTCCTAGCATTGTAATAGCCCCCCTGAAGTAATCAGTCAGTACATGAGGTAGGAGGGCATTTGGGCTCTTGTTTGAAGGATCCAGTCCACAGTCGTGTGAATCTATTGCCTTTGGGCTATGGAAGGCAGCAGATCATGGCAGAGAGCAAGTAACATAGCAAGAATGTTCACCTTCTGATGCCTAGGAAGCAAAGAAAGAAGAGGAGGGACTGAGCCATGTCCTTTAAAGACACAACTTCAGTGACCAGAGTGACTTCCCATAAGGCCCTCTTGTTAAGATTCTGGTGCACACCTTTGATGCCAACATTCAGGAGGCAGAGGCAGGTGGATCTCTGTATATTTGAGGCTAGCCTGGTCTACAAAGCAAGTTCCAGGACAGCCAAGCCTGTTAGACAGAGAAGCCCTGTCTCCAAAAAACAAAAAAAACAAAAACAAAAACTAAACAAACAAACAAGATATGCACACATGCACTCATGCATGCATGCAGGTACACCCAAGCAGGTAGCACCAAACTGGGGCCTAAACCATTAACATCCAGGCTTTTGTAGAACAGTTACAATCCAGAATTTGGCACCTGGTCCCAATTCTCCACTCAGCCTGCCTTGGTGCAGGTGCTGTTTAAGGCATTGGCAGCATCAGGACATTTTTGCAGGCCATTTTTTTGATCTCAGGTCTGAAGTTCACCTTTGGAAGATCCAGAGATTTGATTTGACTCCCAGAGCATCATGAACCAGAAAACACTTTCTGAAACACTGACTACAGGTCCTAAATCCTAAGCTAAAATCCAGGGATGTGATTTGAGTCACTGGAATGGTCAAGTGTTTTAAAAATTTGAATGGGCTTTGACAGAGGCGAATACACACTCCCTATGTGCACAGCCTGGGGTCAGCGCCTTTGGCGGTGGAGACAGAGAGGGGTAGATGTGGTAGCTGGGTTACCTGGAGTCACCTTGTCCTCTCTCCAGTAACCTCCCTAAGAAAGAGTTTCACCAGCCATTATTTAAGTTAATGACATAAATAGGCATCATTATTGAGAAGTCTTATTACAGATCAAGACAGTGTGAGCAAAGCCAGCTCTTCACAGGCACTGTCCATCAGCGTGATTGGGGGTGGGCTGGGGAGTAAAGAAGGAGATGGCTGTGGTGACAAGGTTCAGCAGGTAAATTGCAGCTTCTGGAAGGTTTTGGAAGCAAATAAATTTTGTTCTCCACCCCAAGCCATGGATCTGTGATTAGGGGACACAATCTATCGCTAAGTAGTTTGTGGGAAGAAAGATGGAGTCTTGTATAACTATGTGACAAGTTGAGACAGGTTGTCTTTAGAAAGAAGCCCAATGGAAACTGTTTTCTGCTTTCTTCTGGGGATTTTGTCCACCTCTTCATAAACAGCAATGATTTTCCCCTCTTCTTGTTTGTCTTGCGACCAAGGCACGTGTTCTCTAGCACGGTGCTGTCAAGAGTCCTGTCTTGTGTTTATTTCAATGGCAAAGATACTGTATCATTGTTATTTAGAGATTTGCCCAGTTAGTAAGTAGTGGAGATAAAATCTGTGTTCATTCTGGTAGACCCTAAAGAAGAATGGGAAGACCCAGAGAGCAACTCTCTTCTGGGATGGCTCCTTGTTTAACAAATGTGATTTGTTAGCACAGCTCAAGCAAGCCAAGCCGAAGCGGCATTCATATTGTATTGAGTGTCTAAGTCAAAGTCACGTGATACTGAAGCTAATGAAAAACTATGTAGGCAATAATGCATATGACCTGATGGGTTTGAATGCATTTTTTTTTCCTCACTGAATTGATTGATTGGTTTTGTGTCATACTGGTGATGTGGTTTAAAAGAAGAAGAAAAACGAAGACTTTCATAATCAAATAATCAGTCAAAAGGCAGCCGCTAAAATCACCACTAGGGTTTAAGATTGAAAACCTGACGCTGAGAAAGTATATCTAATCCGACAGACCCACAAATACCAATAAACTCAAGAAAAATATTTCCTTCTGTCTCTACAGAAACATTTCAGACATTTGACCTAACTGGCATCGTTATTATGATGTCTGAAAGCAAAATATGTGCAGAGGAGAAATAAGATGTGCCCAGGGCCCCAGAGAACCACGAACTGAAGCGTCACAGCTCTCAGGAATTCATAGCCCTTCTCATGCCTCGTATCTCAATTTTCAAGTCTCTGCCGACTCCCAGGCACTTTGCAAAATGAACTTAGCTTAGCTGATCCCATCTTTGTGTTTCCTTCCCTTCCACGTTCAGCTTTCGCCATGAGGATGAGCTTAATTTTATAAAGCAGTTTTTGAAATTACCTGGCGTGAGTGAGAAGCAAACACGGAACACCCAACAAACCCGCTTAGGAGTTTATTAGAGGGGGGCTGTACAGGCCTGGGGAATCAGTGTGCAGGGGGGGGCACGTCCAGCTTTTTAAAAGATGCCTAGTGCATGTGCATAGGGGATTGGTGTGACTGCGTCATACACAGATGACGGGCTCACGCATGCACAAGGGCTTAGCTGAGTCGTAGTGGATGTAACCACTCATGTGCACACATGGGTCACACAGAGTCACATTCAGGCACTTCTGGGATCCATCCTCTCCATTTTGTTGTTGTTCTGGGGTTCTTTTGTTTTTGTTTTTTTTAGACAGTGTCTCTCCATGTTGTCTTGGAACTGTCTATGTGCATCAGACTGGCCTTGAACTCACAAGTGTTGGGATTAAAAGTGTGTGCCACCACCGCCCAGCTTTCTTCTCTGTCCTTGACTGTGATCTAGTGTGACCAATTCTCTCAAGCTCTTGTCTTTTGCAATGACTTCCCAGATGTGAAGGACTGCAGACTAAAATTCTGAGCCAAATAAATTCTTTCTCCTTTAAGTTGCTTTTCCCAGGGTATTTTATTACAATAACATGAAAAGAAGGACACACTTTGCAAACCTGGGGGTAAGGCTGGAGAGACAGCCCAGTGGTTAAGAACTCTTGTTATACTTGCTCAGGGTCTCTGTTTGTTTCCCAACACCTACATCAGACTGTTCAGAACCACCAGCATCTTCCAGGGGGATCTGATGCCCTCTTCTGGCTTATTCAGACACTGCATGTATATTGTACTCATGTCTGAAGGTGACGCCGATAGGTTGAGTGTTACTGATATCTGGCCTATGGATTCTTCAGCCAATTAAAGGGGCTGTTGTGATGCCACCCCCAAGTAACCAGACCCGGACAGTTTTATCAGCTCAGTGGCTGGAAACGACTTTGATTCTTGCCACATTGTTTTGACCAATAAAAAGGGGGACGCCAGGTTGAAGCTGCCTGCCTCTTGAATCTGTTTCTGGACACGTCTATTTAGTTCTCTTTGTGAGAGGCTTTTGCAAGAAGGATTATTTCTTTGGTGAATAACTAACCAGTGTTTTTCTAAGAAGCAATGGATGTGTATCTAAGAGTTAGCATATGTATATTTTAAAAGAAAATAAGAAAAGTGTTGAGGAAGAATTCTTAAAGAAATGTTAATGAGATATTGATTAAATTGATAAACTTTTTCCAGTAAAATTTTTTAAAAGCAGGTTTGTTTGTTTTTTAACTGCATCTTACAGTGGAAGAATCTGTGATTCAAAGACACACAAAAGTACAGGTAGCTTTTATGTTTGATAGTAAGTCTGAGCTAAAATAGTTGTTGCATACAAAGCAGAAATACAGGGCCATCGAGCTCTATTTTCATATTGAAAGTATAGAACCTTTCATGTCCTATGATAAATACAAATACATACTATATTTTGGATAAACAGGGTTTCTTTTTTTTTTGTTGTTGTTGTTATTTTACTCTGTGATGCTTTTTGTTCTTTTCCAAGGGTTAATTCAAACTGGAACTCAAACTTGCCAATATTCTCTCATCTCGGGGTTTACAAACTCTCACTTAGCAAAACGAGGGTGAGACAGAGACTCTGGAACAGCCCTGGCTCTTTATTTCCTGCCAGGTAACTCCTCCCTTGCAGAGCAGAGCCTTGTTTCCACGACTCTCAGTACCTCTCAGCGCTCTTCCCAGTCTTGACCCACTGACCCAAGGATCAAGAAGATGTCATGTTAGTGCCTACTAATTAGAGTGCTCAGAGCACCTCTGCCTCTGGCCTCTCAACCTTTTGGAAGTGAGAGCACAGGCTGTCACTCACATCAGACGGGGGGCGAGGGGCGGGGATGAGCCCTCCCTGCATTTGCCCTGTTTTGCAAAAAGCAGGATAAGCCCAGCTGAGACTAGAGACGAATATGCAGGTTAGGAAGAAATTAACCTAAAATGCACTGCTGTTTGCATGATCGTCTCAGATGACACCTGCCTTCCTTCAAGTCCCCAGTCAGGGTGCCCCGTGACTGCATCCTCAGGGGTCTAGCTTTTGCAGCACACTCTCGGCTCTGTGCCGTCATTGTCATTTGATGAAGTCATTTCAAGCGAAGGATATTCTCTGCATAAAAAATGAATTAGTTAAAAAAAAAGAAAAGAAAAGAAAAAAAAGGAAAAAAATGAATTAGTGTTTCAGTGCATGGGAGTTTCCCTGTCTGTAGACACATTCTTGGAGATGCTGGAGTTAGTGGGTGAGGATTTGGTTCCAGGGCTCATTAATCAGTGTTGTTGGGTCAGGGTCTCCTGAGCCTTCTGGGTTCGGGGAGAATCAGCTCCTGTAATTAAAGGGATGAAATATATCACAGTCACAAACTTACCACATCGACAACTGAGGGGCTTGAACTAGTGGAATTAATCTCTTTAATTTTTTTCCCCCCTTAGGTGTTTAAAATAGAAGTGCTAATGAATGGAAGAAAACATTTTGTTGAGAAAAGGTACAGCGAATTCCATGCCTTGCACAAAAAGGTAATCTCTGATTTTATGTTTTCCCCCTTTTCTCTGTGTGGCCCATGGTATAATGTTAAGATTCCATCCCATGTTCCTCAGAACCTTGACTGTCCACTGTGTATGTAGTTTCTTTATAACGGCATTCATTTCCTTTTAGAATCGATTGTCCAATTAGTGTGTTTGGTTTTTATTTTTAAATAAGTGCGTTTCCTGTCACAATTGCTTGCATGTGCACATCTGCGGTGAAAGCTGTTTGCAGTACATTGCATCAAATATTAAAGGTTTACAATGAATAAGATCAACGCCCTCATCTGTCCAAGAAATACATTTAATGTTCTTTACTAAAAAAAAAAAAAACCACAAGAAATCACTCTGCAGCAAGAAATTTATTAAGTTCAACTTAATTGTTGTGTACTTAGACACGCTTATGTATCTACACACGTGTTCACATGGAAAAGAGTCCCATCCCCCCCCCCCCCCCCCCCCCCCCCCCCCCCCCCCCGCCCCCCCCCCCGCCGC